TTATTTAGGCATTAAAAATAATAAAAATCTTGTTTCAAAATTTTTAATTAATTAAAATATATCATGGTGTAAAAATTTGAATAAAAAGTGAAAATATGTATAATATTAGGCTATTTTTATCCCTGCAATACTCACTCACTTTTAAAAGAATGGCCCACATTCAATAAATACATATAATAGTAATAGTAAAAAAAAAAAAAAAAAGTTGTTACCATTTTGAAGCTTTTTGTGTCATTTGCAAGTTTTCAAGAAAAGAAAACCTGCAAGACATAAGTAAAGAAAAAATAAAAATAAAAATTATTTTACACAAAAACATGTCATGTCACCTTCAAAGTATCAAAGGTACAGAGATGAAGTTATTTTTACCGGAGAAAAATTAATTGGTAAGTCAAATTATTATGCTTTTAAGTATTTATTTAATTATTGTTGAGTTACAAGAGAACATAATAATATTTCCCCTAACAAAGTCCGCATCTTTTGAAAATAGTTGTGCATTTTTCAAACTATACATCTTATTCTCCATCCAAAATCCAAAAAGGTATTAGGTATTCATGGTGGGGACTACAAATTGATATTTATACACATTCACTCTATTCACCATTTTTTTTTTTTTAAAAAAAAATGCATACATTATTCTCAATTATCTCTTTGAATCATACCACAAATTAAAAAGTATATAAGCTTTTATCAGCCTTATTTTTTTAGAAAAGAAAAATATCGTTTTTGGTATTTCCATTTATATAAAATAATAATTTATTGTTATTATTGTTCCCAAAAGGTTGAATCTCCAACCGTAAGGTTCCATCACGTTCCGCCCCGACAGAACATATGGGAGGATGTAAGCCGGTGAGACTCGATTTCGGGTTATATTGTTCATAAACTTCACCCGTGTGACCAACTGAGCTGTTCATGTGGGCAATAATAATTTATTCTTTCAATTGTTAACGTAGAAATAATTGACTATTTATTTTATGACGTGGTGATTTTGATCCCTCTTTTTAATGTCGAAAACACGAAATAAGATCTTTAATTAACTTTTGACCGTTTAAATATTAATTATGGAGAATAATAATAATAATAATAATAATAATAATAATAATAATAATAATAATAATAATAATAATAATAATAATAATAATAATAATAATGTATTTGTGAGCATTTATTTATTTGTAGGTATATAAAAGGACTTCATAGTATGCCCTATAATGGACATAATAAAGTCTTCATCTTTGAAAGATATTTGCTGCATAATATCAAACAATAGTCCCTATTTTCAATCCAAAATCCACAAAGGTAAACATGGTGGGGGCTACCTAGCTCACCCCCAAATTGATATACACAAATAATAAGATTAATAAATTTGGGGTGTGGTCTCATGGATGACTCTGTGGTGTTTGAGTGAAGGTCACATAATCGAATTCTGGTGGTGAAGTATTGACTCTTTGGATTACAATTGATAGAAAAAATATATTGAACAGATACTACACTGTAATAGAGTTAATAGTATAAATAATAATAAAAAAACAATAACAATATATTATTATTATTTAATTTAAAAGAAGGAAAATCATTTAATTGGTAAGTCTTTATTAATTAATTAATTAATGTTTACTAATAATCCAAAAACACTTTTATCCTTCCCCATTCCCCACTCCCCACCCCCAATAAAAAAAAAAAAAAAAAAAAACTTTTATCCTACCTAGCTAGGACATAGGATCATGAAATTAATGTTGATGCATGATATGAGGTTTGGGGTGTGCTCTCATGGATGACTTAATAATCCATGTAGTGCATGTGTGTGTTTGTATTTGACATTTTGACACATGAAAGGCACCACTTTTTGTTTTTGTTTTTTGTTTTTTGTTTTTTATTTTTTGTTTTTTGTTTTTACCCAAGTGTTAGGTATGTATTAAATGATGGATTTGACTTCGTAATCCCCTCTTCTTGTCTTTATCATCTACTTACCCCAACCAACATTCTTATACTAACATATTATTACTTATTACTATTCCTTTTATATGATTTTATATTGTAATAATCTTTGAAAGGGTATATATGTGTTGGAATTCTTTGAAAAGAAAAGTTTACATTTGAAATTGTTATACATTTTATATTTGTTTTCTTGTAGAATGATGAGGTGCAGTGTAATTATGATTATACCACTAGACTAGATTGAATCCAAGGTGAGAGATCAAGCATTCAAATTAGAGATCCCATGTCTTAAGGTCAAATGGTTAAATGTTATTCAATCACAATTCCATTAATGTTGATTACCAAAATGGTTATATGACATTTAATACATATAAAGTTTGATGGAGTAATTTGGAAAGAGGCTCGAGGCCAAAAATGAATTCAAGCTCCATAAGAAAGACAAGTCAATGCCTAAGATTTAAAATAGGTGTTTTCTACTTAATAGTTGCACCTAACATGTCTAGATCATAGGGCCTCAAACTTAATTAGTTTGTTTAACGGTCCGGGTCCACCCGTCTAATTCCTGCTCGTTCCTAGAGGTACAAAAGTTGGCCCAATGAGAATTGTCACTTGTGGAAATCAAACTCGGATTATCTAAAAAATCATCTCTACAATAAAATTTATTTGTCACTTGAGCTACCCCTTTGGATTTACAATTTGCCATTTGTAGAGTCATTAATGCTAATTGTAGTAATAAATACAAGCAATATTATTCAACTTGATATGGCAATCGTTATACCGTGCACCAGGGCGCACATACCACTGTGCGCCTCCCACCTCCCAAAACGACGTCGTTTTGTTAAGTTGTTAAAAAAAAAATCTCCTGTTTCGAATGCACATAAACTCATAACAGAATACACATAAATTTATAACAGAATACACATAATCTAACATAATACATAATACACATAAACTCATAACACAGTACACATAAACTTTTAACTGAATACACATAATGAGTTTCGTTAACATAATACACATAAACTCTTAACTGAATACACATAAACTCTTAACACAATACACATAAACTCATAAAACAATACGCATGAAATTTTAACTGAATACACATAATGAGGTTTGGTCTATTTGGATGAACGGAGTGACATCAATATGACGTCAGCATGAAACTCCGCGTTTTGTGCCTGGGCGCACATTGGCAGTCGTTATATCATAGACCGCGGTGCACGTGCACCGCGGTCAAAAAACGACGTCATTTCTTTAAGTAAAGAAACAGCTCGCCGTTACCGTTAACGGAGTCCGCTTGTTTGGTGTATTAAACACCAACTGACACTACAGTATATCTAAACCGACACTGCAGTTATATCAAAATGATACTGTAGTTGTAGTGAAATGAAACTGCAGTGTATATAAAATGAAACTGAATAACATTTCACATATTTGAGTGTATATTGTACAATGAAGCTGTAATTATATCAAAATGATCATGTAGTTGTGTTTTAATGAAAATATAGTGTATATAAAATAAAATAAAATAACATTTTCACATATTGTAGTCTATAAATATCGAATGAAACTGTAGTTATATCAAAATGAAACTGTAGTTGTGTTGAACCGAAACTGCAGTGTATACGAAATGAAACTGAATAACAGAGTTACTTTTTGCGGAAGGGTGCGGAACGGCGAAAAACGAATGCCGTTTATTTTCATTTAACAAAATGACGTCGTTTTGATGCACGGTGCATAATCGATTATGCACCGCCGCGGTGCATGATATAATTTGCCGCACATTGGTATGTGCGCCGTGGTGCACGTTATAAATTACCGTTGATATGGATTATGGGCTAATTGCTTTTAAAGAATACACGTTTTTAAGCCACTTATCGTAGCAATTAAATTAGGAAGTTGGGCCTCATTAGCCTGCCTATCAATTAGAATAAGCAGGCATTCTAGATGTGTGATCAAGAGGGCCAATTATGGTTAGCCCAATGCTAAATATCGATCCGCAAACTTTAAAACCATAAATTATACTATGGACAATGTTTCATGTTTCATATTACAAAATAGATGATTAATAAATGTTTATTTTAGTGCATGAAAGTATATTTTTAATGTACTATATGTTAATTTTTAAGAATGTATTAAAAATGAATATGTAGTATATTAAAAATGAGATTTTAATATATTAAAAATAAACATGTATATTAATGAACCACCTTGCAATGTATGTTTGATTGGTTCATAGTATAATGGTTGTTTTAAAATCATGATTAATTCTTAATAAATAAATATAAATAAAAGGCAAGTGGACCATCCATCTTTTGTCATAATATGACAAAAGGCGGAATGGCTCACCCAAACTGTCAATCAGGTGTGAGGACATCTGAGGTGGGTGAGCAGATGTTATACCATGAATCAGGGTACACCTTGACCTTGTAAGATGGACTTTGATCTTAAATTTAGTATTAAAAATGTGAAATTTTAAAATATAAATTGTATTTTTAAATTTTAAAAATTTGTGAATATAATATCGTCATTATAAATTGTGAATTTAAAAAATTAAATTGTAAACATTTAGTATAGTCACAAATGTCAAATAGGTCTATCTACTACTGCGAAGTGCTCAATTTCCACCACGAACTAAATTAAGTGTCAAATAAGTCAATCTACGAGTTAAATTTGTTCAATTGACTTTTTTTACAGGTTAATAACAGGTTACCTATTTAATTATTAAAATAAATAATAAATTAAATTAAATTAAATTAAAAAAAAATACAACCGGATCCGGTGGCTGTATTCTTCTTCTTTTTTAAAAATAATTTTTAAATTATTTTGAAATTATTTGTTTAATAATTGAATTGTTAACCTGCAAAAAAAAGTTAATTGAACAAATTTAGTAGATAAGTGTGGTTAATTAGCCTTTAATTTAGTTCATGGTGTGAATTGAGCACTTGATAATAATACATGAGCCTATTTGACACTTCTCCCTTTAGTATATAAATTGTATATTTTTGAAATGAAATCAACCTCTAATTACAGTGTTTAAAAAAAAAAAAAAAAAACCTCCAATTACAGCTAGTTTTACATTGTTTTTCCCAAAGAAATGGCAAAGCGAATCACTGAGATAAAGCCAAACGGCGCGGTTTATCCGAGGTTCCCAATTTGAAAATTCTTTTTTTTTTTTTTTTTTAAAGGCTTTGTATTGTCCGAAGTTTAGGAGTTTTGAGCTTTCGCTGGAGCGAGATGGCGACGCCGGCATGTCCAGACTCCGACTCCCGAAAATGGAGAGAACTTCGGATTCGGATCCCAACCAGACGGCGGAAACAAATTCCGACGCATTGAACGCCGCCGCTCCTTCCTCCTGTTCAGCTGCCTCTTCCCTCCTCTGCTTCGCCGGAAATTCAGCCTATGGCGCTATCATAGGTTCCTTCTTCGGATACGGTAATCATCATCGTTTACCCTACCCGCCCCCTTCAATTCACTGCCTCTTCCGTTATAATTTTTTTTCTGGCAACGATGAAATCATGTTTTGACTTTGATCCGGCATTTGCTGAAATCATTCGCGATCCTACACTCCGTCACTTCATTCTTCTGTTCTATGTTGTTTCTATAAGCACATTATTAGTTCTGTAACTAATAGAAAAATGTTCAAATAAGCGCCTAAGTTTTACACTAGAAATTGTTCACAATCTTTCCTTTTCACTTTGCTCTCATATCTCAACAGTTTCTCGTGGCATTTAATTTCACTATGTACTTGTGTATTGAACTTTGTACATGTGTACCAGGTAATGGATTGATAAAGAAGAAGGGATTTAAAGGATCTTTTGTGGAGGCAAGATCTTCTGCAAAGGTATTGAAATTTCTAGTTTTTTTTTTTTTTTTTTGGAAAAAATTTCTAGTTTATTTCGATTTAGTTGGTGTTTATATGCTGTGTTTAGATCAATTAATTTGGTTTCGTCTGCCTTTATTAGAGATATGCAGTGTCATATGGAGTTGAGAATTTGGTTCATTACCAACTGAATATGCTGAGAGGAAAAGATGATGGTATGTTATGTTATGTTCTATCAATTTCAAGAAGAAGACACTGCGTTTCTTTTGCATTTTCATTTAACTTTTCTTTGCTTTTACAGTTATTAATGCAGGAGTTGCAGGGTGTTGCACTGGTCTTGCTCTTAGTTTTCCAGGTACTTTCACCATTTCCTACGAGTAGGCCTCTCATACCACTCGTTAGATAAGTGTTTACCTCTAAGTCAAAAGTTATAGCTCGTAGTGAATGCAGAATTTTATTTTTTTATATACTGTCACATTTTCGAGAAGAGGGTGCTGAACTTAGCCTTTCACCACTTGACTCTTTACCGGCTTCTGCGCAACATATGTTTATATATTATATGCTTAATACATAGTATTAACTCAAACTTGGAGTGAAAGATTTTTTTTTGTCAGACCATGAGGTGTCCTGAGCAGACTCTAACTGTAGAAGACACCTTTAAGCCAGACTCTAAATGTAGAAGGCACCTTTAAGCCTCTACCTTAGACTAATCCTCATTTGCACCGGACCGACCCAATTAAAGTGCAAAGTGCTGGCCAGATTGATTTTTCCATACGAGAGGGATTTGAACTCACGACATCTCTAAGGGATGAGAGTGCACGATCACTCAAGCCAACCAAGCTGGTTAACTTGAAGTGAAAGATTGGTTATGTATAATCAATGTTTCAAAGCTGGTTAACTTGAAGTGAAGAGAGTAACAAGCATTGGTGAGACTGTGAGAGTTGGCCTTATATAGGGTCAACTAGGGGGAAACCCCCAATGTGACTATCGGATACTAGAAGGTCGGTCTCTTCCTAGAACAACAAGTGAATAAGTGAAAGAATTAAGGTAGAGATTTTTTATGTTTCTCTGTCAGGTACACCTCAGGCTCTAGTTCAAAGCTGCCTCACATATGGGGCATTCTCTTTTATCTTTGACGGCCTTTACAGGAAGCTTGCACCAGCACAAGAATCTTCCATGGATATCAGAAGTAGCCCCTTAACATTGCCTGAATCCTCTACCAATTCAGATGAGCTTAGAGAACAGATAAATGGAGAACTCTGAATCTTGCAATGAACATTCCTCAAGGTTTGTCTGTTGTAATAACTATAATAAGTTCCCTGCTGGCTTGCTGCCACAGTACACCATTGTGTTTGGAGAGTTGGACAGAGAGAAGAAGGTCAGTGTTCATTGTGTTCTATAACCACTGCATTTACTGCATTTGGAATTGTAATAGGATGGGAGTTTGATGTGTTCATAACAAAATGAAATTGAATAACTTGTTTCGCATATTATATTTATATTATTAAGTGAAACTGTAATTGAATTGAAATGATAGGAGTTAATAGCCAATATAGTCCTCGACTATAGCAGTTTTACTCAATTTAGTCTTAAATGACTTTTTGTGCTCAATTTAGTTTTTGACTTTGATGGTTTTACACAATTTAGTCATTTGTTAAAATTTTTGTTAATTGACTGTTAGAAATAGAGTCTTAATGGTAATTTCTCATCATTCATCCCATTTTGGGATGATTCTTTCTTCTTTCCCTTATTAAGATCCACGCAAAAATGCAAATTTCCGTACCCAAATCAATTTCAACCCTAAAAAAAAAAAATAAATAAATATTTGTCTACTGTTTTTTTTTTTTTAATAAATAATTTAGGGTTAAAGTCGAGTTGTGTATGAAGATTTGCATTTTTACGTGGATCTTAATAAGGGGAAGAAGAAGAAGAAATCATTCCAAATGGGATGAAAGATGATAAATTATCGTTAGGACCGTATTTCTAACAGAATTTTTAACAAAGGACTAAATTGTATAAAACCATTAAAGTTGAGAACTAAATTGAGTACAAAAAGTCATTTAGGACTAAATTGTGTGAAACCACTATAGCCGAGGACTATATTGAGTATTAACTCGAAATGATATTTTAGTTGTGTTGAAATGAAACTGCAATATAAGATTACAGTGTGTATAAAATGAAATTTAATAACATGTCGCACTGTAATAAGACTATTGTATGTATAATGTAAAATGAAAATGTAGTTGAAACAAAATAAATTTAAATTGTACTGAAATAAGACTACAATATATATAAAATGAAATTGAATATATTATACAAACAAAACTAATTACACAAAACGAATGTGATTTCTTTTCATTTGCCGGTTTGTAGTGGATGGGGTAATGGACTAGTTAAAGGGTTTGGGTAAGATTGGGCTTGCCTCGAAACAACTAATGTTATATGTGTACGGTGAGGTTGAAGGAGTGGTCAGTCAAGGTGTGCGATCATATGTTAATGGAATAGTATTATTTCATATGTTAATTAATATGATTAAACATTCAATTGAAAATTTTAGAAAGAATAAAACTCCACTATATAATCGCCGGCCTTCAACTACCTACTCACAAACTCCCCATGACTATGCACTCTCTCATACAACTAATCACTTATCAATTTCTTATAACTATTTAGTCTAATTTCTCACACAACTATCTCCTCCGTTATCCATTTATCTATTAGTCATGAAAATTTTATATATAATTATGTACTCTCTCATACAACTATCCACTTACCAGGACTATGTGGTCCAATGGTACCCAAGTTGGACTTTCATTTGAAAGATTGTGAGTTCGAGCCTCAGTGGAGGCGTTATTAGCTTTTTGTGTTTCAGTAGATTGAGAAAGTATATGAACAGATACTAGCTTTTTGTGTTTCAGTAGATTGAGAAAGTATATGAACAGATACTACATTGTAATAGAGCTAGTAGCATTCAAAAAATATATAACTATGCACTCTTTCATACAACTAACCATTTACTTACCAACATTTTATAACTATCCAATCTAATTTCTCACACAACAACCTCAATCGCTATCCATTTGTCCACTAGTCATGGAGATTTTATATATAACTATGCACTCTCTCATACAACTAACCACTTACCTACCAACTTTTTATAACTATCCAATCTAATTTCTCAACCAACTACCTCCTCCGCTATCCATTTGTCCACCAGTCATGGAGAGTAACTATGCACTCTCTCATACAACTATCAACTTACCTACCAACTTCTTATAACTATCTAGTCTAATTTCGCACACAACTACCTCATCCGCTATCTATTTGTCCACCAATCAGGGAGATTTTATATATAACTATGCAGGCACTCGTACAACTAACCACTTACCTACCAACTTCTTATAACTATCCAGTCTAATTTCTCACACAACTACCTCCTCCGCTATCTATTCGTCCACTAGTCATGGTGATTATATATATATACATATATATATATATATATATATATATATATATATATATATATATATATATATATATATATATATATAGGGACACGCTCTAATGAGAACAAGTGCTCATGAGAGAAATAAGAACAATTTACAATTGTCCACGTGTCCAGATCAACGAATCAGATGTAACTTTAAAAAAATGACCCGATGGCATTTTTATAAATATTTTGAACTTTGATGCAAGTAAATGTGTTATAAGTGCAAGTTAAATCACTTACAAGTACACGTATTTTCACTTACAAGTGCAAGTAATTTACGTTGTTAACATTTGGGCACCTAGGTGCAACTAATTATAACGTTAGGGGTACAACTAGTTATAATGTTAGGTACACTTATTATTGATGCTCAGTGTAAATTTTTACTTGTACCTGTAATACATTTTATTTGCACTTGTAATACATTTTACTTGCAGTTTGATGTTCAATTATTTACAAAAATATCACCGCATTTTTTATTATAAAAAAACCAGTGTTTCTCATCCGTTAGATCTGGACACGTGGATGGATGTCATGCATTCTGAGTTCTCTCCTGAGCACACCGTTTTCATTTGAACGCGATCATATACATATATGAGTTCTGGTGCGAAAACTTGCTTAGGTGTGAAAATGCAGTTTAATCTTAACTGTTGATCAAATCTAGATCAACGGCTCAAATCAATGAAAATTAAAAAATAAAAAGACGTGTCCTCAATTAAAGAAGCAAATTGTTAAAAATGGTGCACCTTACGAAGGAAAACAACGCACTTTAGGAAGGAAAATCACGCACCTAAAGCTTTAATCCGATGCACCTTAAGAAGGAAAACAATGCACATTAAGAAGGAGAACAACGCATCTTAAGAAGGAAAACAACACACCTAAAGCTTTAGGCCGACGCACCTTAAGTTTCAACAACTGACGCACCTTAAGCACATAGACCACACACCTTAAGAAAGAAAACCACACATCTTAAAAAGGAAAACCACGCATTTAAAGCTTTAGACCGACGCACCTTAAAGCACACAGCACAGAAACCACGCACCTTAAGAAGGCAAATCACGCACCTTAATTTTTGACCTAGATGCAAAAATACCAAATTGCCACCGCATTTTTTTTTTTAATTCTTATTAATCATGGACGTTGTTCAAGGAAGATCAATGACTCTCATCTTACCCCACGTTCGCACCTCAGCACACCATCCGTATTTGATATGTATTATATATATATATATATATATATATATATATATATATATATATATATATATATATATATATAATCATATGAGATCATCTTTTTAGGTGAGATTGTGAGATCAAATAATGGGCATTAATTTAAAAAAAAAAAATTTAATGATTATGATTGATCAAGAGTTCAAGTTGAAAATTACTTAAAATAAACAAAAGGGGTGAAATAGTAAACTAATGTAGGATGTTTAAAAGAATTTAAATAAATAGATAAAATATCAATACCATATTTATAGGAGTTTTATTAGTGGTAGGAATGCAAACAATAACATCTTTAATCACTAAACGTAATTACTATATAAAACTAATGTGCATGTTAATCACATCTCCAAGCGATAAATCCCACAAAAAAAACAATATTTGTAGTGATTCATTTTCCTTCTCTATCCTCTCACATGTCTTCTCCAACTAAACCTAAAAGCATACAAAAAGATGTAAAAATTATTGATGGAGATGTTCTTAGAGCATCCATATCAGTAGAAAATATTTTACACAATTTTTTTGGTGCCACTTGGAGAGAGGAGGGTTTGAGAAGAGAAAGAGGAAAAAAAAAAAAGAAGGAAATATATCGCAGCAGGCCAGCAGACGCGTCCAGCACGCGAGGTCAGTCTACTGCTTTACTTTCCTTTCTCAATCAGTGAGGCCCATTAAAATTTTGTTATTGTAGGAGAGTAAAATGCTTCAAAAAAACCCTACTCCATCAATAAAAACTCAGTCTCTTTTTTTAGCACTGTTCCAAAAACTCACCAAAATCTATTGGTATGGTTGCTCTTAGAAGTTAAGGCCTCAGCAATTTCCATCTACATAATGTAAAGACCATAAAAATTTAAAAATACTTATAACTTTAACGTAAACTGATAATGAACATTTTAGTAATAGAAAATGACATTACACATAAATAAAATTTCTTCAATGTATATTTTAAGATACTTGCTCTGAGTTTCTCTTATCACCCACAAAATTGTTTTTCAATATTTCTTTTTCACTTTTTTCTATCAAGATAAAACTAGGGAGTTAAAAATAAAAAATAAAAAAAAAAATTGCTGTCCATATCATCTGTGTCTCTTTTTGGGTTCACTTTTGTTAGGCAGGAGCCGCAGAAGGCCCAATGCTCTGATATTATTTATTCACTGTACAAACGAGTATCACTTAGGCACTTATTAGTGTTCTTCTACCTAATACTTAGGCCTAACACTTTTGTGTTCATACATCTATTGGGAGTACTCCAAATATATAAATGAAAAATTTGTAGAGCCTCGTTGAGAAAGTTTAAAATTTTGAGAGATAAATTTCAATGAACTTCAATTATTTATAGTTGAAGAGGAAAAAAATCTACAAAAATTCATGTTTTTTTGTTTGCTAATAAATTTTAAAAACTCTTTTAAAAGTTTAATTGAATAAAACTTCTACCAACCCTCTAAAAATGTATTCAATGTTAGATATAAATAATCTAACGATACTGAATAATAATCTAACCTTATAGAAGCGGAAGTGGAGGCAATATTGGTCTCCAGCCACGATTGATGTTTTTGTTGTGTTGCCTCTTGAACGACCGTTAGCCATATTTCTCCCATTGACTCAGAACCCTAGATGATTTATTGGTATTTTAT